AGCCCCGCATGCCCTAACCCCACGGTACCTCTGCCGGGCTGGGGCTGGGGTTGGACGGGTGGTCCTCGGGGGAGTTCTCCAGGGGAGGCATGGTGGGCGAGTGGGACTGGACGGGATCCGGTTGGGGCCCCGAAGGTCCGGCGGGCGCGGGCTCTCGCTCCATGGATCTCAGCGTAGTTTCGATTCTCGGTCGAGAGCTTGGAGGGCGGGAGGAGAATCTGAACAGGAGGCGTGGGCCGGACGGCGGAGTCCCTCGAGCTGTCCCAAAGGGGGCGGGGCCGGCACAGGGCTCCGCCCCTGGGGAGGAAGTGGGACTCAGCGGGGGGGAGGGGGAGGTCCCAGGGGCAGGCCAGCCGGCCGTGATCTTTCAGGACATGTCCAGAGCCGGCCAGAGCGGGGCTGGGGTGAAGGGACAGCGGAAGGCTAAGATGACCGGGAGGCAGGCGGTCCCACCCCGGCTTTGATCTGTTCATTCAGCAACACTGGTACAGTTTTGTGTCACCTCCTGCTGGGAGTCCCCTGCTTTCAAAGAGCCCCTATCTAATGGGAGAGCCAGCCTCCAATGGGAGACTTTCTGGAAGGGAGATCCCTCAGCTGGAACTTGAAAAAGCACTGGGGATTCACCAGGAATTCAGGGATGGGGTGGGGTGGAGAGGGGGCGCATTTCAAACAGAGAGAATCCCACGTGCAAAAGGCAGGGAGGTTGGCAACCGAAGAGCCTGTCTGGGTACTAGTTTGGGCCATTTTCAGATTTTCAGAGGGGACTCGTGAGAAATGTCAGACAAGGAGTGTGCTGAGGAGTTTGGACTTTCCCGGGGTGACAGAGAAGGGCGAAGGGCTTGGAACCAGGGACCACACGATCAGCATGTTGGAACAGTCATTCTGACAACCCAGAGGCTGTTGGCCTGGTTTAGGACAGTGGCTGTGGGTTGCAGAGGAGGGACCCAAGCCAGGGACACTGGGAGGACACTGAGGGAGCAAGGTGAAGCCTTGAGTGACAGTAGGCAAAGCTGTGAATCTGAGATGGGAGCAGGGAGGGAGGGGAGAGAGCAAGTTAGCTCCTGGCCAACTCAAGGGGAGAAAGGCATGGTTCTAGGCTTCCTCGCTGGACCTCACACTTCAAGCTTCAAACTTCAAGCCGATCCCACTCCTGTGCTGGCCCTGCGTACCCATTCTGTGCTCTGTTCCAACTTGGAAACAGACTAGAAGGGGTGGTGAAGTGCAGCGTGGTGGCTCACACCTGTAATCCTAGCACTTTGGGAAGCTGAGGTGAGAGGATTGCCTGAGCCTGCGGGTTCAAGACCATCCTGGGCAACATGGTGAGACCTCGTCTCTACAATAAATAAAAAAAATTAGTAAGGTGTGGTGGAATACCCCTGTAGTTTCAGCTACTTGGAAAGCTGAGGTGGAAGATGAAAGGACAGACCGAGAGTGGGAAGCCATTTTTCATCTTGTTCTTAAACCCTGACACAATGATGAGAAAGTAGAAACTATGCTTTTGGAGAAGTGCACACTTTAGGTATAATTAACTTTACCGACTTTGTCTTTTCAGAAACAGACTTCCAGGTATCAGAGGTATCTCATACTGGCAAACAAGCTTGCCTAGAGTAAAGGGAATTTACAAGGCCTAAGACATCATGCATTGGGCACGGACGGTAAAAGTCATGAAACTTGTAATTACAAAAGTTATAACCACTCAGAGGGAGAGCAGGTCGGGATTCGATCTTTCAGTAAATTGGGCACTATCTACAGGGAAGTCAAGGATCCCCCGAAGCTACCCACTGGGAATGCCTAGGAGATAAGGGGAGGTGAACCCTCCACTAGCTCTAAGGAATGTCATTTGGGAAGGTGCAGGAGAATTAGAATCCTTGTCACGCCCTTCTTTAGGGCCTATGATAATATGGGCGGACATTAATGGCTCTCTGTGTCACAGGATCTCCAAGACATTTACAGGTGTTCGACAAGGAAGTCACAGCAGTCACGTGCAACATCTTCAAGAGAAGGATTTAAGCCAGGATTCTGGGGGGCTATGACGCCACACTCACCTAGAGTGTAGGCCCACTCCCTGTCTGTGGGGGGTGAACTTTTATTAAATAAATCTTTTCTTCTCTCACCTCTGTGGGTTGCAATTCTTTGCAATTTACTTGGATCTCTGGGTTGCCGGGGTGCACCTCCAGCTTGCCAGCCCTGGCAGTGCTGCACGCCTCCCTGCCCCGCGCCTCTCCACCCTCACCTGGTGGACCCTAACAGAAGGATCGCCTGAGCCCAGCAGGTCAAGGTTGCAGTCGCTGTGAGTGTGCCACTGCACTCCAGTCTGGGTGAGAGAGTGAGATTCCAACTCAAAAAAAAAA